ACATCGACACGTGTGTCGGCCAGCGTCCATCTGAAATCGCTGCGGTGGACTGTCCCAGCGGTAACTTTGTTGAAAGCAGACCCTACGAGACACCGACGCAAATTTACACTGGCGACCGGAGGAAGCGTCGCAAGCATCTTGGCAACACTCATAACAGCTCAGGGGGGATGCACAACGGCAGAACTCAAACCTGAGTTGGCCTGCGGGCCGAGCCCCGAGCCCAGAGCTGAGCCAGGGCGCCAAGAACAAAGAGCGAGGAACCTACTGATATTGCATCTCCGCAGCAACACCCGCCCGCATCGGTGCCGCTCGGGCCAGGCCGCCTGACACATCGGTTCGCGCGCCTGCCTTTCGAACAGATGCCATCAGACCTCGCGCTGACGCGAGAAAGTTTCAAATTGTGTCGGCGATCGCCTGCACCGAGGCAAAACCAGCGAGCAGCAGCGAGCAGCGAGCAGCGGAAGAGAGGAGCGGGAGACGTGAGAGCAGGAGTGGAGGGACAAGGATAACGAGTGGGAGCATTCACGAGTGGGAGGAGGAGGAGCGGCAGCAGAAGCAGGAGAAGCGGGAGAAAGGATTTTGACACGGAGCAGCAGGAGCAAGGGGCGGAATACGAGGGGAAGCAGGAGTAAGTGACTACCGAACAGACCACCCCAACCCAACCCGATGACCAGAATTTCGGTTTGGGGGGGTACGAGTTCCATGTGCGTGTGCGTTCTCAATGTTCATCGACCCCCCATACACTGGAAATGGACGGCAATTTGAAGCTTTCGGGTTGGGTTGGGGTGGTTTGGTGGGTGGTGAGCAAGAGGTGGTTTGGTGGGTGGTGGGCAAGCGGACCTTGGCCATCAGCAGCCCTGTGGGTGACCCTGGCCATTCCCTGGCGGCCGCCCAAAACCAGCGCCGAAGCCCCCAGACTGGTCGAGGAACCCTCAACACCGCAGGCTCTCCTTCGGCGGCGACCCCCCCCCGCAAGGCTCGGATCGCCTTAGATTTAAGGTGGGGAAATCCTCCTGCAGTCGGATTTTCCTTGACAAGTGAGCACAACTCAACCTGGCGAAGGACCCAACCATATGCAGTTGTGAATACAGCGGTTGTGGATATCGCTTTCGGCGGAGATCACTTGGGAGCACGAAGCGCTGTACTGGGTGGGAGGGGGGACGCATGCGAACTTTGCCACTGGGGCCTTCGGTGGAGCTCCCAATGGTGCCACTCAGCGCTGTGCTGAGTGGGGGGGGGGGCGCATATGGACACCGCCAATGGGGCCTTAGGAGGAGCTCCCCATGGGGCCGCGCAGGGCAGCGCCGGGTGGGAAGACGCATGTGGACACAGCCGCTGGGGCCTTAGGTTGAGCTCACTAAAGGGCCACGAAACGCAGCGCTGGGTGGGGGAGACGCATGCGGACACCGCCACTGGGGCCTTAGGTGGAGATCCCTATGAGATCACGAAACGCTGCGCTGGGCGGGGGGGACGCATGTGGACACCGCCGTTGTGGCCTCAGGTGGAGCGCCCCTATGGGGCCACGAAGCGCTGTGCTGGGTGGGGGGGGCGCATGTTGACACCGCCACTGGGGCCTTGGGTGGAGCTCACCATGGGGCAACGGTCCGCCCCCCCAACCAGCAGGGACGTCGACGCGCCAGCCTTCGAGCCGACCTCGAAGATGACTGCGGGCCGCTGGGCCGAAGCGCGGGCGCAATGCTCTGGAAGCCCCAGTGCCTGCCAGCCCGTGCGTTCCTCCTGGAGCAGGTTGCTGTCGGCGGCGCCCGCAACTGCTGTTGTCGCCGCCGTCAGCGGGAAGGGAAAACAGCTGTCATACCACGCCTTTAAATAGATACATCGATATGCTGCCTCGTTTGTCGCCAAGGCGGGTCGTCTGAGCGCGTTCGCCCTCGCGTCCGCACGGAGGCCTCCATGCTGGGCATTCTCGAGGACGGCTGTGCGAGCGCGCGCCGCGATCGCAATGGACGCGACGTCGCAGAGCCCCCGGGGAAAACCCAGCACGTAGTGGTCTTTCAGCAGTTCCGAGCACTGTCTGGCAGCTTGCACTCGGCAGACAAGCCTCTGTGCTCTCCTCCGATCACGCGTGCGTAACAATGACAAGTGGTACAAATGCGGTACCCGCTCACTGTGACAAGGTGGTGCTCGCCGCTGGCCGCCCCTGGGACACCGGCGCCATCGCCCGTGGACGACGCGGAGGCTACAGGGCCAGGGGGGCTCTCGATGGGGCAACGATCGAGACGGATCGGGCGTCCTCGAGCGGCGAGCCGAATCAACGACACTCTGCGAAGCCAACCTGACTGCAAGACGCCTGACGGGCATCTGCAAGAGACAGATCACAATCGCTCTGCTGAGACTCAGGGGCC